ATAGCTAGCGTAGTATACAAGCGTATGAATGTGAGCACAGAGTCCATGCATCCGGAGTGACGTACAACCGAGGCGGCGCCGGGGTATCCCTACGGGATACCGAAACGAGTAAAAACTAGGCAATGCATACCGTGAAATCTCATTCTTCACCAATATCCCGCGAAAAGTCACGCATGTTTGAAAATTTTGAGAACGCCAGCTTGGGGGCTCTCCAGTAAGAAATAATAACAAGAAAACATGAAACCGCTGTCGACCGTATGTTGTTGTACGGTATCGCATCGCTTTGGGGAAGATTTGAAATCGTGCAAGAAACATCGTCGATACAGCATTTTTGGTTTTGTTCGAGCACACACTCTGTTGGATCTTTTCCTTTGATTCCAATACAGTAGGGAACGAGGCAGGAAACAAAACGAAACGATGACCACGGGCTCCTCGAACCACAACGCGAAAGCGACACACTACGAAACACTGGGATTGCCGAGGGACGCCACCCATGACGCCATCAAGAATGCCTTTCGGGAGCTCTCGCTGAAGTTCCACCCGGACCTGAACCAAGAGCACTCGTGCGGGGAGGCCTTCAAGGCGGTGTCGGGTGCCCATTCGGTGCTGGCCGACCCGGTGGCTCGGAAGAACTACGACCGGTTGCTCGCCGAGGATTCCTGGTGGAGGGAGGGAGCAGGGGCCAACCGGGCGGGCCGCCGAACGCGGGCGCCGCCACCCAGACCAAAGAGCCATGGTTTCCTCGGGACCCTGGCGAATCCCCGGTATTTTCGGTTCGGGTTGGCCGGTTTGGGGGGGGCATTGGTGGTAGGATCGGTCCTGGGAACGATCTCCTCGAAACGGCCGGACTATGAATGTCACCACTGCGAGCCGCTGGTAGAGGCCTGGAAGAATCCATCCACCGGTCGGTACGAGCAACCGGCTCCGTGGGACAAGGAATACCAGAAAATCAAGCCGAAACTGGAAATGGTGCCGAGAGAAAAAGTCTGGAAGCGACGAATGTGATTTGACGCAAAGGGCACGAGTTCCCAACCTTGCCGTGCTCGTGCTCTTTTGTCGACAAACGGGGCAGTTTCACGGACGAATGGTCCCAAACAAAAAAGAATTGCAGAGGTTTGTGCGCACGCAATCACCTTGCATCCCAACGCACGTTGGACGAACAAGAACAACAAAAAAGCCAAAGATATGTGTTGTCGGAACAGAAATTAAGCAACGCAATGCATTCTTGTACCATTAAAGAGAATCTCACTTCTACAATCTTTTACAGCAAGTCGTATCGGAACGGTCCCTCAATCGAGAAGCAAAATCTTCGAGCAAGGTTTCATCTGAAAATCGCGAGTATTTCGTAGCGTACGATACACCTTACGTCTCAACACACTTCAGATGCTTAGCCAAAAAAAGCGTAAGACATGTGTAGTCGAACAGATATAAAGCAACGCAATGCATTTTTGTACCGTTAAAGAGAATTTCGCTTCTATAATCTTTTACAGTAAGTCGCATCCGAACGGTCCGCCAATGGAGAAGCAAAATCTGCGAGCAAGGGTTCACCTGAAATCGGAAGGATTTCTACAAAGACGTTGCACGAGCTACCGCAGGTGTTGCGCCATCCAATCCACCGCGTATTGCTGAACCCGAACCGCCCCGGGAAATCCGGCCGTGCCCAGACCCAGATAGGCATGGGGCACGTTGTTCACGGCGACGATCTCCGAATCGACGCCCAGGAGGCGCAATCGCTCGTGGAATGCCAACGAATCGTCCAGCAGGGGATCCCTCGCACCGGCGAAGAGCAGCGCTGGTGGAAACCGCCGCAGGATTTCGTCGGGGGCGTAACACGGCGATGCAAGCGGATGCCTCCTCTCGCGTTCGGAAGAAACATAGGCGTCCGAGATTGCGGACAGCAGGGCACTCGGGAGCACCGGGTCCTCTGTCCCGGTGCTTCGAGAACGAGACACTTCCGTGGCAAGGTTGAGTGCGGGACACGAAAGCACGATGGCGTCCGGCATTCGCTTGGGACGGTCCCCCCCGCCATTCAGCGGAGACGACTCGTCGAGGTTGCCGCCCCTGCCTTCGGCCTGGATGTTGCCCATTGCCAGTTTCACACAGAGCGCCGCCGCGAGATTCCCGCCCACGCTTTCCCCCGTGACGATAATCGAATTGGCATCGAACCCCAGGCTCGTTCCGGTGTTTCCTGTAGCAAGCAATTTGTAGATTGCAAAAATCTGGTTCAATTGGACGGGGAACTGGTTCTCCGGCAACAACGAGTACTAAACCGAAAATTGAGTGAGTTGGATCGGAACGGAACAGACGAAAACTTTTTGACGGCGATGGGCTTACCTCGGGACAAATGACAACGGCACCGGTAGACGAGCTCCAGTCTAGCAAGTACGGAAGATCCGAAGCAATCGTGTGTGCAAAAAACCCTCCACCGGTCAGGTGCAAAATCACGTCCCGCTGGTGGTGCTGCCCCTTCGATCCGACAATTTTTTTCCGAACAGGATTTCCCTCGTCCTGGTGTGTCTCCGTTTCGTCTATTGTGGGCAATTGGGAAAAATACCCTAACGAATTTCGAAACCCTTTCCTCGCTTGGCTTCGGAGTATACCCGCCAGCTCGGGGGCTGGATCCTTGGAAAGAACAAAGCAACTGACACCACCCAGAACAATTCGGTCTGCTACCGAAGCTCCCTTGATCATCCTCGAAGCCCGCAAGGTGAGATTTTTGAGCAAGGGAAGAGATACCATGCCCCTGGAATGAAACGTCAGCCACCGTGAGGACAAGAAAGCGTTGAACAATCCATTGGGTATTTGTGTTATCCATTCTTGCTTACCATGCATGCCGAATCAAGTCACACGAAGCATCGTCGTTCACAATGGAAGGGGTTGGAGCACCAGTGATAGTATAGAAGCAAGCTGCCACTCCCGCAACCAAAGGGAGAAAGAAGGAGTTCGGTTTTTCTTTCGTGCAATGAACGCCTGCCCCAATAGAGGCATAATAGATATCCATGAATCGTTTCAAGATAAAGAATCGAATCTCGCCTGTTGAACTCCAGAAATACGCTTTGAAGTTGTTTTTCTTTGCGCATTCAATCAATATCCTAGCCTTTCTGTCTGCATCGATTGAACCTTTCGGGGTTGCAATTCGGGGCAACTCATTTTCTGCGACGACCGTGCTTGGAGAGAAACAACCACGCTCGCGCCCCTTTCGATCTCCGACAGCGCCATGAACCAAATTCCATCGTTTTGACCATTCCGAAAGCTCGTTGCTGCTTCGAACGATTTTGTCCGTCATCCAGCACGTGTTGATAAAGTTTCTGAAAAGCACCAAACCGGCTAACGATCCACCGGCTTTTGTAGCAGCAAGAAGCAAAGATGTACCATGGGGAAAATACATTGGGAGCACGCGAGGCTTTATGTGTCTCTCTCCAACACATTTCCGACCGAGGACACCCGCGATCAGTCCAACCCCCAAACAACAAAACCCGATCGATGATAGATTCGAGCTGCCGCGAGACCTTTTGCGTGCAAAGTTTGGGTTTTCGTCTTTTCTCTTCCTGCCAACGGAGTCAGATGATAATTCATCCATCCTATAGCCMGCAATCACGTAATGTGCGTCGTCGATCCGAACCAATAGGAGCTGCAGAACAACCACCAACTGAAACACAAGCTGGCTGTCAACACTCCGCCCCGTTTTGTTGCGTTGAAATTGATGTTCGAGCGGTGGCTCTCGTGGACTTTGGGGTCGCGATCTTTGTTTGCTTATATTCGATTCGCAATCCCGCGGTTTCGACGCGTTTGCTTTTCGAGATGCCTGCTTCAGGTATTCTAGCGCTCGCAGGATGTCGCCATAGTCGTGAATTCCTTTCGGTTTTTTCACCGACTGCGATGCGTTTACGACGTAGTCTATAATGTGTTTCTCTGCGGCATAGAGACTGCTTTGGAGCCGGTAGAGGGCTTTATATCGACCGGGGAAGAATTGGATCTTTGATAAGGTTGCTTGTAGATTGTCTTTGCACTCCCGCAATAATGGGACTACCTGAAAGATATAGTGAGAGGGTTGGCTCATTTTTCTCGATCGCGAGTACGAGGTGTGTGTTCCGATTATTATTCATGCTGGGAAAATACGTATCGTACTTTCTAGTGATGAAGCATTAAAAAAATTAGCAATTGTGTTCAAAAGAAGGCAATTCAGTGAAGTAGTTCGTGCAAAGCACGATAAAGTGCCGTACAGCACGTACGTAAGAGTACGTACTCGTTCGAATGACAGCAAAAACATCACCATTGACACGAACATCATTTGAGAAACGAATCATCATCGACACGATCAAAAAGCGCAACAACATACTTCTAGTCGATTTGATTTTTTTTTGGGAAATGAATTCCCGAGCCACCCTTTTCTGTTGTCCGATTTTCGATTTTTTGTTGGCTTCATGATGTGCGTTTGTTTTTAGCCCTTGTCCGATTGCCAGTACTGTACGTACCTGATACTCTACCGTACGTAATGTATCTGACTCGTAAGGTACCAGAACGAACGCAAATGTGTGCGTGACAGGTCCGGAATCAGTACAAATTGTACATGGCTCTACAGAGAGAATTATACACTTCATTTGCGTTCGCAACTTGAACCTGTCACACCCCTTGAAAAGGGACTATTTTATATCGAATTTTTTCCTTATTTCGGAGGTTTCCGAGCTCTTTTTTTTGCTCACTTTTTGAGAATTCGAATCGGTGAAATGAAATCGACATCCGGACACTGCTTATTAACATGGAATAAAATCGAAATCARAATCAATTCCAAGAACAGATTTCTCTTAACATRAAATAAATAAATYGCTTACTACTGGAGCGCTCTCTAAGGCGCTAACTACTGGAGCGCTAAGGCGCTAACTACTKGGCTTCACTCTTATCGACGTCGACGTCGCTCCGAGCTTTTTTCCTCTCAGAATTCACGTCGGCGAAACGAAATCGACATCCGGACACTGCATATTTGCATGGAATAAAATCGAAATCAGAATCGATTCCAAGAACAGATTTCTCTTAACATAAATCACTTATTACTGTTGGAAGCTCCTCTTACACTTCAGCAACYTCAMCAACAACCATCTCCTTGAGTCCCTCAAGCACATTAACAGGCATATTGCATGCAGCCCTCTCTTCTTCAGTCATGCTTGCAATGTAGTTCAGGGATTCTTTTTGGAGCCTTGCTCTGGGGACAGCAACTGCTTTTTCAAGCTCCAGCTTATCCCTGAACCTCATCACTCTTCTGCGAAGAGCTTTGCT